CCTATTCCTCACATTTTATTCAGTAAATGAATTCCATCTTAATGTAGAATATTAGTGTATAGTGTATACATACATACATATGTATCTATGCATTCGGTGTGCTTAAATTAAAAAAGCATCACTAAATAACGCACCAAGCATTGAATTCCAATTATTTTGGCTTTTTGGTTTCCCAAAAGCACTAAATTTAGTGCAAAATGCACGACTTTGGCAACAGTGAGCTGAGCACATCAATGCTCAAATAGTGATGCCAGACCAAGTATTGAGTAAATGCGCTATGTATATTTTTCTTTTAAAGCAAAAGTTCTAATTGGCGAGGGGATTGATTTTTGGTTCTTAAATAGAACACTGATAAGATTCAAAAACTTATCTTAGGACTTAATTAAAATAATCAACAGTATTTGTAGACGAATATATTTGTGTTCGTATGAAATAGTAGCTTATGTCGGGAGGCTGGCTTTAGTAAAATGTACCATTTCCTATATTCCTTAAACCACAAGGAATTTTTGTATGAGACTTTATACGAATATTGACTTGCTAGCATCGCAACTGCCTCTTTTACGTTTATTTTCCAAGAGTTTTTCAACGACTCGGCGCCAGTGAGTCTTTCGCAATCGTATGCTGCGAATGGTTCATTATACTAAAGCCAGTCTTCCGACATAAGCTACTATTCTATACGAACACAGATATGTATACTTCCTAATAGGCTTGTAAAATGCCCAACACCCAAATCCCTCGCATGAGTTATTATCAGTAAAAAATTGGGTACGCTCAAATCTGGCATCGCTGCAGCAAGTACTTTGTCACGCCAGTGAAACAGTGTTGATATTTTAAGTACAATTGTACTTTTTTCATTACAATTAATTTTAAAAAGTACAAAAGTACAATTTGCCGATTTTAAGTACAATTTCAACATCAAAAATACTTTTTGTACCAAACGCTCAAATCTCTTCTAGCACTTTCATTCTTAATCCGTTTACATTTAAGTAAATGGATATACCTATATTTCATATTTGCTACAAAACGAAATTATGAATTGTAATTTTGAATGTAAACGTGATTGTGAACAGTAATATTAGTGATGTGCGTTATGGTGATTACGATTTCTTATCACCGGCGGGTGAAATATCCCTCATCGCTATTTATTTTGAAAAATCTTTGGAAATGCAATTTACCTAATGGCGACCCTGCAGAAATAGAAGTAATTGAGCAATTCGGGGGTTGGAAGTAAAAAAATGCATGTAAATTCCATGCGTTGAAATTAAAAATTTCCCTTGAGGATTTCCATTTTATCGATAGTGATCTCATTTTATGTTCATTAATATGAACTGACCTATATAGTGTATTAATGTTTTATCATCATTGTCTTCATCTTTGACAAAATTACACGGTCACCCGGTATTTATTTTATTTTTCTTAAATCATTTTAATTATTTTTTTTATAAAATTGTAGCTTATCGTCAAACAAAAACCTTGCAAATAAATCCAAACTTGAAAGATTGAAAAAAATCAACAAAGTTTTATCAAATTTTCACAGTTTTTGTTCAGAATTTGTAGACATGTTTTGGGTTAACATTTTTGTAGCCCATTCATTCTAGTATAATAAGGTGCAAGTTTGAAGTGAAGTGAATACCATTGATTTTTTGAATTTTTCTGTTTGCGGTGTTGCGCACTAGGAAATCTAATTAAAAAGCTCGAAATTTTTACGAAAGTGTGTTGATTTTTTTAATGTTGCAAAAAGATTGAACCTTGGTACGGCTTTTTTTTAAGTATAAACTGTATTTTTAACCGACTTCCAAAAAAGGAGGAGGTTATCAGTTCGTCGGAATATTTTTTTTTTTTTTTTTTTTTATGT